TCGGCAAAGATTTTTTTATTTTTTTAGAAAAATTCTTTGCCGAGGGTGGTAATTTTTTTTTGGTTTTTTGAACCTAGTTTTTTTGGGGCTATAATACTTTATTTAAAATTTAATTGGCGAAATAGCCGAATTCGTCCCTGAACTATCGTGCTGGGCTCAATTTCGTCCCTCAACTTTAAAAACGTCCGATTCAGTCCCTGAACTATCGTGCTGGGCTCAATTTCGTCCCTCAACTATAAAAACATCCGATTCCATCCCTGAACTATCGTGCTGGGCTCAATTTCGTCCTTCAACTAAAAAAACGTCCGATTCGGTCCCTGAACTATCGTGCTAGGCTCAATTTTAAATTTAACACAGTTGTTTTTTTATTTTTAAATCTAATCTAGTTAATATAGTGCTAAAACTTGGTTCGTTTTTTTTCTGAGCATCTTAAAGACCTAAAATTAAAAAAAACTCAAAACTAGAACGTTATAGATCTCATCGAGAACTACAATTTTCATATATAAAGTATCTCTATTTGACCCCATATACGAGAGATACGATTTTTCCAATGCGATAAGCACTTGTACGCAATTAGTATACTGTTAAAACATTATTTAATTTTTTTGAGCATCTTAATGACTTCAAAATAAAAAACTCAAAACTATAAAGTTGTAGATCTCATCGAGAGCTATAATTTTTATATAAAAATCATCTTTATCCAAAATCGTATAAAAAAGATATAAAAATCCTCACTGGGCCACTCCAGTGGGCGCGGCAACACTGTAGCGCCACGCCCAGGAGACGGGCGCGACTGGGTGCAAACTTAGAAAAAAAATGTATCTTTTTTATACAATCTTGGATGAAGATGATTTTTATATGAAAATTGTAGCCCTTGACGAGATCTACAACTTTATAGTTTTGAGTTTTTTAATTTGAGGTCATTAAGATGCTCAAAAAAATTAAATAATGTTTTAACAGTATATTAATCGCGTACAAGTGCTTATCGCATTGGAAAAATCGTATCTCTCATATATGGGGTCAAATGGAGATACTTTATATATGAAAATTGTAGTTCTCGATGAGATCTACAACGTTTTAGTTTTAAGTTTTTTAATTTGAGGTCTTTAAGATGCTCAGAAAAAAAACGAGCCAAGTTTTAGCAGTATATTAACCTGATTAGATTTAAAAATAAAAAAGCAACTGTGTTAAATTTAAAATTGAGCCTAGCACGATAGTTCAGGGACCGAATCGGACGTTTTTATAGTTGAAGGACGAAATTGAGCCCAGCACGATAGTTCAGGGATGGAATCGGACGTTTTTATAGTTGAGGGACGAAATTGAGCCCAGCACGATAGTTCAGGGACTGAATCGGACGTTTTTATAGTTGAGGGACGAAATTGAGCGCAGCACGATAGTTCAGGGACGAATTCGCCTATTTTGCCAATTTAATTTTAAAATTTGGGCCAATTTTAACTTTTTTGATATATTTTCTTAATTTATTTCGTTTCTTTGATTTTGTTCGAATATGTCAAATTTGAACTGCAGGTGCATGGAATATTGCAATGTAGTGTTTCGAAAAATGTTATTCATGTTAATTGGTGCATGTTGAGTCCCTGTCCACGAACTCGCATCAAATTTCGCGCATCTTCTTCGCGTAACATGACGACCGACTTGCCGGAAAAGTGTTTTAAAATTATATAAAATCCATACGAAGTCCAAAAATCACGAAATTGACGAGATGTCATGTTATCGCATGCGTAGGCTACGGTAAAAAATTAAAAAAAGTTTCAAACGAGTTACGACGTGAGATGTCTGAAACCCAGACATTTCCACGTGCGGTTAACCTCGCCGTGGAACTGGGTACACTGCTCGAGTGCAGCAGCCCCAGGCCCATCACGCACAGGCCCGATTGGAGTGCGGCGGCGGCGGCGGCGTGATGTCGAGGCCGCAGGAGAATGGAGCCGGCCCCACGCCCGCACCGTCGCGGTGGCTCTCGTGGCCACCAGCTATGGTCTGGGTCCGTAGTAGGCAAGGCAGGCCACCGTTAACCCGCCGTCGTCGCTTGCCGAAGTGAAGAAAGGCCACATCAAATCCCGTCTTGACGAGCAGCAGCGCCAGCTCGGGTGGCACGCCATCGTAGTGGGGTCCAGTTTAGTTTGCAAAAAATTTTACAAAATTTTTCATATTTCCCGTCACATCGAATTTTTGACGCATGCATGAAATATTAAATATAAATAAAAAATAAAACTAATTACACAGTTTAAACGAAATCTACGATACGAATCTTTTAAGCCTAATTAGACTATGATTAGATACTATTTGTCAAACAACAACGAAAACGCTACAGTACTCATTTTGCAAAAAAAATTTCATCTAAACAAGCCCTGTTGTCTTTGACCTCGCTTTTGCTTGCTGACGACCTGGCCTCCACGCCGCCGTGCCCCACGACTGCGCCCATGGCTTCACTGCCGTCGCTCCGGAAGAAGATCCAGTGGATCCGGAAGCGCAGCAGGTACAGGCGTGGGAGCACGGACGAGAGGACGGCAGCTCCGCCGTGCGCAAGCACAGCGGGACAAGGTCGTCGGTGATCTGCAGCGGATCGATGTCTCCGGTGTTGATGACGTTGTTGCAAACTCTGCTATTTTCTTGGCTCGATTTGGTTGTGGGCGGCACCATGCAGCCCACGGAGTCTTGGAACAAGCCAGGAAGAAAGCACAGGAGAAAAGGGCTTTATTGTAGTACTCACTCCGATGCTTCGAGGGAACCTCCCTCCGGCCGCCATGGCCGCAAGAATGTTGCCCATCCCCAAGAAGACGAAGGTGAGGAGGATAGTAGTCCTCGTTTCACCCATCTGGATGCCATATTCCAGTAAAGGACACTACTGGGGGAGAGGGAGACACAGACCGGACCACCTACCCTCGACGCCGGCGAGCTCGCCGGAGAAGAAGGGTAGAGGGCCGGAGGAAAGCCACTAGGGGCACTCGCTCACTCGGAGACTCCGGCCTTGTTTAGTTTCTCTGTAATTTATTCTTTATTACATCAGGGGCTTGTTCGCTTGTCTTAAATTTAGCTTGTTCGGCTTGTTTTTTCAGCCAGAACAGTGTTTTTCTCTCACAACAATTTAGCCGGAACAGTATTTTTCAGCCAGTTTCAGCCAAAATTCAGACCAGCGAACGGGGCCCAGATATTTAAACACATGTATACTCTATGAAGTATAGATAAAAAAAAACTAATTACACAGACGAATTTTTTAAGTCTAATTATTTCATGATTTGATAATATAGTGCTACAATAAACCTATATTAACAATAGATTAATTAGACTTAATAAATTCGTTTAATGAATTACTATCTAAACACTTCTATAATACCCGATATAACAATCTAAACTTTACTCTCTTAATTTAAATACTACCTGTGCGGAGGAGAGCAGGACGTGTGGGTCACTACTAGCCATGCATCAGTTGATTGATTTGTATCGTTATTGATTTATTTATGTGAGAGAGAAGTATGCATTAATTAATTGGTTTATATCGTTATTGATTTATCTACGTAAGAGAGAAGTACTACCGTCTGTACGAACCAGAAAAGGGCTGAGCCGAACACGCTGAGTACTGGAGCATTATAGTATTGAACTTTGACCGTCCAGTGACTCAGGCGGAAAGCAGAGGAGAGCATGCATCCCTCGTGCCGCCCGTGGCAAGTGGGGGTGGGCCCGTCTACTTCCGACGCCGAAAGCCCGGCCCATCATGACCGGCCCAAGAGAGTCAGCAACGGGAGACAGGCCCAGCCAGTGTGACACGGCTCCGCGAGGAAATTTTACTTTCTCTGAACAGAAAACGAAAAAAAAATTCACCATCAAAGGAAGAAGAAGAAGAAAATCTAAGAAACTGAGATCAACAGAGGGTGGAATTTCCCTTTGGAACGTCGCCTTCTCCACGGCTGCTGCGAAACTGCAGCCAGCCAAGGAGCGGAGGAGAAGCCCAAGGGAGTAGTAGTAGCGGGCAGTCAAAGCGTGGCGGGCGGGCAAGCTGGAATCCATTGGATTGGAGCTGTCAAGGAATCGGAAGAGGAACCCGGCTCTCCCCTCTCTCTCCACCCCGCGTCCCGCGTCGGTTCCCCTAATCTGCGTCCGCGGCGTGAGATGAGACGGTGAGATTTCCTTTCCCCCTCGCCCTTTCCCGGTGAGTTCCCGGCTCGCTTTTGGTCGTCCGTCGTCGACGTGGCGGTCGGATCTCTGCGTCACTCTTGTTCTCTTGTGGAACCGGTACATTCGTTTCGGTTTGTGGTAGGTTTTTACTCCTGGATGAATGATCTGGCGCGCTGTGAAGTTAGGGTTTCTTATTTATGTATGCTGTTTCCTGCTGATTTAATTAATGATCTCACCATTTATGTCGTGCTTGTCTTGCCGTGGATTTTGTTGGTATATATGTAAGTTACGGTGTTGGAGTAGTAGTATATGTTAGATCATAACGGGAATTCACAACCTTAATCATGATTACTTGAAGCAGCAACACTGATTTACCCCAAATATGTTGTCACAGAGTTCGGTTATATCTAGTAGTACTTCTCTACCTGTGGGTGTTTCAGTGATTGACTGAAGTAGTTATGACGATAAGTGATCTTTAGAATGATAGATAGTTCGACAGTTATAGTAACATTATTTGCCCTTACTAAGATCTAATATCATCCTTTTAACGAGAATATTTCCTATTAATTGGAACTCTGTGAACACTTAATGTAAAGACAGTGTCATTGTTAATTATCTTTAAAACTGCTACCAATAAACCCTACGTTGTCTGGCATATTTCTTTCCTTTTTTTAACTGAACTCTGGTGTTTTTTCTTTGAAGGATAATTAATGTGATGTTGGATTTGTTGTTTTTAGCTACCACAGATTCTCTAATTAGCTTACCCACGACCTGGTGACTCTAGTGAGACAGGTCTCACCACTGCACCAGGCCTGTCTAATTAGCTTACTATGGCATATTTATAGGTTCTGTGATTGCTGATCGGCGTGATGAATTCGAGGCCAATAATTCTTATCTTCCTCCTGCTCGTGCTCATTATCACATCACAGTTTGAGTGGAAGCAGCAGATTGGTGAGGCTGAGGCGAATCCGACAGCTACACGGAGGAGGCAACAGGCGCTGGAAAGGGAAGATGCTGTTAAAGAGAAAGTGAGCACCTGCATTCTTATTTAGCTTTTCTTCACTTTTAGCTGAGTTTGGGCATTTCCAGTTTCCCGCTTGGAAATGAGTTGCCATTTTTCCAGCAGAAGCCCAGTAATTTGTCCACAGCATTGTTGCGTTGATGTTATTTTGTTTATCCGTTTATCATGTTCTGACTTCTGAATAAATTGATTTAGTTGTATTGTACCTGCATACTGTTAGAGCTGTGAGCACAGATATTAAAACCATCATCAAGTGTAGTTTGCAGTGGTTGATTAAAATCTCTGGCTTTTTAGGTCTGATGGCTTTGTTTGTCAGGCAGTTGACTTAAAGACTTAGCTTTTCTGAAATGGTTACTGCATCACTCCTTTATGAATCTTTTTTGCTTACAGCTTTTCTTCTTGTGTAAATCCTAACTGTATAGATCTAAATTTGTAACTGACTGAAGTTTTTGCCAAAGGCTGAACATCTTTTAGTTGGAGCAATTGTAGGGTATGACATGGCATTTATGTGTCCTGAAAATACTAAGTGCTTGTGGCTCAGAATGTACTATAATCCTTTAACTCACATTCTTCACCTGCTTTTGAGTTATTACAGTAGGCCCCAAATTTGATAGTTTGGACGGTACAGTATGAAAGGTTGCTTGTAGTTAAACGATCTGTGGTTCTTTTTATGTTATAACGATTTGTTTTCATATAATATAAATAATTAGAGTATGTTGATTTTAGTGGCCGCTTTCTAGCTCGCTCGATAACCTTGCAGTTGACCTTAATATCATGACTAGAGTTGACCACTTTGTTTTACATACTTTTGCTGGCAATACTTCTGTCCTGTGATGATAGAAGGTAACAACCAATGGCTTTGTAGTTCTCGGATAAAATGAAATGAAGAACAATGGATGTTTGTTTGATAGCCCTAGGGTTTGAGCACTTTAAAAGCTGTACACCAGCTTTGTCATTTCCGCAGAACATCATGTAGCTGGCTTCATCTGTCAAGTGATTCCTACACTGTTATTATTAGGAAGTTTTCACTGTTCCATGTTAGTAGCTGTGAAAAGCACATTTCATCATCAATAGCTATTCTTTGGCAATTACTTTCGTATGGATTCAAAAAAATATCTCACTCTCAGGTCATTATGTTAAAAAAACATTTCAGGTCATAATTCAATGTATTACTTACAGGTAATATTGGTGCAAGAGAAAAACATTCAGCAACTTAACGAGCTTATCCAGAGCCTTCAGCTGCAGCTATTGCATTGCCGGGGCAGTAACAGTACTGCTCGCACCACCTCAAGTCAGTCGGCTAGCAACAGTGAAGTGGAGGGACAGGAAATGATTGGTGATTGATAACGCCTCGCCCCCTCCCCTCTGCTGACATAGGTAGTTTGCTTCAGAGTATAACCAAGACAAGAACAAAAGCTCTGCAGGCAATGGAAACTCTTGCTGTCGCCGTCCGGTGGGCAATGTTGATGTACTGGTATTGTGTGCTTTACATTGTCACCTCCTTTTGCGTTCTCACCCAGCTTGTACAGAGTTTTAGTATGTTGGTCTAGGTTACTTTCCTGATCAAGGTTCGAATGTGCGTGGCAGTCCTTTTTGTGGTTGTTGGTTCTTTTACCCTCTATAAACAAATGCGCTCCAATCTGTATATGATGGATCATTTCTTTGTGTTTGTGACGGCGGTTTTCATGCTCGGCATGTTGCAGAGCTCTTGATTCTATGCAAGTTGTAGATTCAAAAATTTTCCCAGCAAATTTTGTTCTTTGCTTTTCTCATGCACTGACTCCCTTTGTCCTTCGTGCGCGTTGGACAGCGAAGCGAAGAGGAGAGTGCAAGAAAGGGATAAAGCAGTATTCTCCGATCTGAAGCAAGGGATTGAGTTCCATTTTGCAGCAATGAAGAGATGTGTAGTGTACCAAGCATTCTCTTCTTGATGCGCTTTGTGTGTTGCTTTTGTAAATGCATTTGAACGACAATGCCGTGCTGGTTTTTGAACACGTGAAAAAACTAGCTCTGTTTTAATTCGACGATAATTGAAACAGTTGCTGCGAAATTCGTTTGAAATTTAATTTGATTTCCGGGTCTCAAACAAGCCAAGCACACCCTAAACTTTGCATTACGCATGCATGGCATGCAATACGAAGCAATGATGATCACTCCGAACTCTCACGAAGAAAGGGAGAAAAAGAAAAAGAAGTAAATCACACTGTTTAACGATCCATCCAATGCATGCAGAATTGCAGATGCAGCAAGCGACGAACAGTTCAGCACCCCTTCTGCGATGACCGGAGCACCTCGCAGGTGGTCTTCTGGAAGACGACGGCGCCGCCACCGTCCGGCGACCCGAGCTGCAGGTTGAGCGGGCACTTGGCCTCCAGCCTGCACCACGTGCTGTGCAGCTGGTACTTGACCTGGCCGGAGAGCTTCACCTCGATGTCGAACACCCCCTTGGCGCTCTGCTTCCGGTACGCCCTGACGCCGGCACTGCCGAGCATGACGTTCACGGCGTCGGCGCCGCTGGCGAGGCGGAACACGGCGGTCTTCCTGGCGGGCAGGACGTAGGTCGGCGAGGCGACGACGTCGACGCGGTCGAAGCTCTGGTCCTCGAAGCGGTAGTCGGCCTCGAGGGACCGGAAGGTAGCGCCCATGGCCCAGTTCCGGTTGCGCACGGCGAGCGTGAGCGTGAGGTTGTAGGAGATGGTGGTGGCCGGCGAGGTGGCCACGGTGAAGCGCGTGAGCGAGGCGTCGTCGACCTCGAACCTCGGCTGCGCCACGTGGCCGTAGCCGAGGACGAGGACGACGATGACGGCCACCGCGGCGATGATGGCGAGGCCGATGCAGAAGCCGCACGCGAAGCGTTGGTACGGGGCGAAGCACGCGCAGCAGCACTCGCAGTCGTCGCACATGATGGAGATGGTCAGATGGAACGGTCGGTACCGGGCACACTGCACGAACGAAGGTAGCTTGCTTGCTGGCTATGGCGAAGTGTACGTCGTGTGTGACGGTTAGACAGTTTGTTGTAATAACTTGTCAGGCTCAGGCCTGTGTATGGTGTCTCTTCCCATCTTATATAGGTGCAGCTATGAAACGTGAAATGTACGTCCGTACAACGCGTTAGAGCTTTTTCGGAGCGGACTCTGTGCAGCTCTACCAAATGGTTAAAAAAAAACTCATTCCCTACCACTATCAATCAATTTCTCCAGACTCTCCTATCCTATCACTCTCTCTTGAGAAGCCCCTTATCAGTTGATCTGAAAGGAAATTTTAATACTTGTGCCCATCTATTAATCTCCAAGCTTTCCTATCCCATCAATCTTCTCTTGAGAAGCCAGAAGGATAACTTTACTTCTACTATAGTCACCCCCCTGATTTTACCTCACCCTCCGCCATTGCCTACCAGCATCATTTTTCACCTGCTCTCCACCAGAATCACTCCACTAGATAATCAAATAAAAGAGTGGAGCTAAAGAATCAGGGAGTGAAGTTCAATCTCTCTTGAGAAGCCCCTTGATCAGTTGATCTGAAAGGAAATTTTAATATTTGTGCCCAAATACTCCACTGTCTACAAATGGAAGCATGTTTAGCATGATCCAAAGTTTGTATGTAGATGAAATAAACAGTGGTTATCACATTTGAGTTAGTCACGTTGAGGCCACATATTAAGGAAACTATTTTTTTTTGATAAGGAACGTGATATATTAATATTAAGAACAGTTTCCACGAATAAGGGAGAAAGGCTCCCAGCCAGACAGAGATAGTAAATTACAAGGGCACATAGATACATGTGCTGAATTTGAACAGGAAAACCTGGGATGTAAAACAGGGGCGAATCTTGCTCTTGAGGCTAGGTTGTGAGCTGTAACATTAACATCCCTGATAATCTTGAGCACCTGATGGGAGAAGCTTTGAGTTTGCAGTCTGAATTCAGCTGTAAAAGGTTTGATACTCCAAGGCTCAGCTCGATTGTGGCCGCCATTTAGATAGTTGACTAGCATCTCGTTGTCGGAGAGGGAACTTACTTCCTGTAGATTAAGTTGCTTTGAAATTCTTGCAGCCAGAGTAAGTGCGGCAGCTTCGGCCATAATCACTGAGGAGTGTTAACATTCTGTAGATCCACTAGGGTAGATCTAGGCCGGTGAACACTTGGATCCTTAAAGTACATTCACATCTAGACCTAGAACACTACACCGAGAGGGAGATAGGGTAGAGGTGCTGGTGTTGAACCTGAGCCTTCGGAGGAAGTCGCGGTTGAGCTGGCCATCGCTGGTTCATTGATGGAGGCAGCACACGGGCAGCGACGGCTGGAGTAGAGGTTGCACGAACGTCGATGCAGTGTAGACGGACGGCGTGGCAGTGACGACGGTGAAGGTCAGCGGAGCTTCCCGTCGCTGGCTGCGCGTCCTCTTAGATCGGTCTAGGGTTTGTCGGTGGGGTTTGCGGCTCACGGCGAACCTCGTGCTTTGAGCCGCCGGCCCCCACCTCTTTATATAGCGCAGTGCGATGGGGGCCCACCAACCATGTAGGGTTGGGCGCCCCCGATCAGGGCGCGTGACCAAGGCCCAATAGGCCGTTGGGCTTATTGGTTAGGAGATCAATCTAACATTCTCCCCCTTGATCTCACTATTACTTTTATCTTTAAACTTTAAACTTCAATCCTTTTATCCTTACTCATTTCTTCACAGATGATGCATAGAGCATGTCTCATCGTCACGGTCAATCGCCGATAGATTTAACAGCTACAATGTACGTCTCTGATCTGAAATAGTTACTTTAACTTTTGGGCCCTTTATAGTCCAGGAATCATAGGCTTTCCCTTAAACCCATGCCGGCTACATGTTCTCTGAACACGTTGGGTGGTAAGCCTTTTGTAAGCGGATCCGCGAGCATCTTTTCGGTACTTATATGCTCAAGACTTATCATTTGATCCCGGACTTTATCCTTCACAACATAATACTTTATGTCAATGTGTTTGGCAGCACCACTTGACCTATTGTTGTGAGCATACTGTACTGCTGGATTATTATCGCAGTATAACTTCAGTGGTCTATTGATGTCGTCAACCACCTTTAAACCGGGTATGAACTTCTTTAGCCAATTCACCTGCCCCGTTGCCTCATAACACGCTACAAACTCGGCATACATTGTGGACGATGTAGTGACGGTTTGCTTTGAGCTTTTCCATGAAATAGCTCCTCCTGCGAGAGTAAACACATATCCAGACGTGGATTTTCTATTATCTCCCGCATAATCAAAATCTGAATATCCCACTATATGGAGTGAATCAGATCTTCTATACATCATCATGAGGCCTTTCGTTCCTTGCAAATAACGCAAGACTTTCTTTACTAATTTCCAGTGTTCTATTCCAGGATTGCTCTGGAATCTGCCAAGTAAGCCGGTAACAAATGCCAAGTCAGGGCGCGTACACACTTGAGCATATTGCAAGCTTCCGACAGCTGAAGCATATGGAACCACTTTCATTTGATCGATCTCATATTGGTTCCTGGGGCATTAAAAATCCGCATATCTGTTGCCCTTGACTATAGGAGCAGGTGAGGGACTACATTTGTGCATACTGAATTTCTTTAAGATTTTTTCTATGTATGCCTTTTGTGACAGTCCTAATACCCCTTTACTTCTATCTCGGTGAATCTCGATCCCTAGAACGAACGAAGCTTCACCAAGATCTTTCATATCAAATTTTGATGACAAAAACTTCTTTGTTTCCAGTAGTAGACTGACATCACTACTAGCAAGTAAGATATCATCCACATACAGAACAAGGAAGATAAACTTCCCATTCTTAAACTTTGCGTAGACACAATTGTCCTCAACATTATCTTTAAACCCAAAATTCTTTATTGTCTGATCAAACTTCAAGTACCACTGTCTTGAAGCTTGTTTTAATCCATAAATGGATTTCTTTAGGCGGCATCCTAAATGTTCTTTTCCTTCCATGATAAAACCTTTCGGTTGTGCCATGTAAACATTTTCTTCTAAGTCTCCGTTGAGAAATGTCGTCTTTACATCCATCTGATGTAATTCTAAATCGTAATGTGCCACTAATGCCATTATGATTCTGAAGAAATCCTTACACGAGACTGGAGAAAAAGTCTCATTGTAATCAATCCCTTCTCTTTGTGTAAAGCCTTTTGCCACAAGTCGGGCTTTATATCTTTCTATATTCCCTTGAGAGTCAAGTTTTGTTTTGTAGACCCATTTACAGCCTACTGTTTTGGCTCCTTTAGGAATTATCTCCAAATCCCAAACTTTATTTGCATTCATTGATCTCATCTCATCTTCCATGGCCTCAAGCCACTTTGATGAATGATCACTTTTCATGGCTTCTTCAAATGAGGTGGGATCATCCTCCATTTGAAATTCTTCAGTGTTGTACACTTCATAATCAGCAGGAATAGCTGATTTTCTAACTCTTTGAGACCTTCTAGGGGCCTCCTCATTTGGCACATTTTCTGTTTGAGGCTGTTGTTGCTCCCCCTCATGTGTGGCAATAGGTTCTATAGGATCCTGAGGCACAGGTTCCTCATCATCATTCATTGTTGCCACAGGCGGGATAACAACAGGTGCTGGCACCACAGTGTCTTGTACTGTTGGTGCAGTAACAGCAGGTAGTGAGAAAAATGGCTCATGAATGATCGGAGTGGGTGCATACACCCGCTTCTCTTCAAGGTCAATTTCTCGAGCTACCATGCTCCCCCTAATCATTTCATCCTCTAGGAAGACAGCGTGTCTCGTTTCCACAAACTTTGTATGTCTGTTAAGACAGTAGAAACGAAAACCTTTTGACTTTTCTAGGTAGCCAATGAAATGGCAACTCACTGTTTTGGGATCTAGCTTCCCAATGTTTGGGTTAAAAACTTTAGCCTCAGCAGGGCTCCCCCACACACGCAAATGGTTAAGTGAGGGTACTCTTCCTGTCCACAACTCATACGGTGTTTTGGGCACCGACTTACTTGGTACTCTATTGAGAATATGAATGACGGTTTTTAACGCCTCCATTCACAGACTCATCGGTAAAGTGGAGTAACTTATCATACTATGCACCATATCCATCAGGGTACGGTTACGCCTTTCAGCTACTCCATTCTGCTGAGGTTCGCCCGGTGTTGAATACTGGGCGACTATACCATTCTTCTGTAAGAACCTTGCAAAAGGTCCAAGAACTTGTCCATATGGGGTATGCCGACCGTAGTACTCTCCTCCACGGTCAGACCTGACTATCTTAATCTTTAAATCATGCTGATTTTCAACTTCTGCTTTAAATATTTTGAATTTATCCAACGCTTCTGTTCTTTCTTTGATTGGATAAATATAGCCAAAACGAGAGTAATCGTCTGTGAATGTTATGAATGAATCATAACCATCCATACTTTTCACAGGAAAAGGACCACATATGTCGTGTGAATAATCAGAGAATTCTCGCGCTTCGCTTGGCATCTTTCTTAATTTTCTTTACATACTTTCCTTTTATGCAATCTCTACATTGTTCTAACTCTCCGAGCTCTAATGAAGGAAGAATATTATTCTTAACTAGTATTTCTATTCTCCCCTCGAAATATGGCCTAAACGACAAGTTGCCATAATTTCGACAACGCATCGTGAGCTCTCTTTCGTTTCTCGCTTCCATTGTTCGATGAGGATACATTTTCATTCACATCACATACGGAATTCACATTTTCACGAAGTGATAACAAATAAAGCTCGTCTTGTCGGAAGGCAAGACCAACACATTTATTATTAAACAATATCTGACATTTGCCATTTCCAAAATGGCAATCATAACCATCATGGTCCAACTTTGATACACTAATCGTGTTTCTTTGCAAAGAAGGTACATAAAGAACATCTCTAAGAAAAAGTATAAAGCCATCTGGAAGCTCTAGAG